AGGGTTGTTATTTAGGGTCCCCAAATCATTCTAAAAATCTTGAACTTTTTATAAAGGTTCTATTGCCAATGATAATTATCTTAACTAGAAAAATAATGTTCTTACTTGGTAGTTACATCCTTAGCAAAAATATTTGTATTTGTTTACAGCTTTATAATAAAGATATATTTGAAGAAAAAGACTATTCAAAGAAATTGTACTAAATATTGAGAACTTTATGTGCTGTCTTTGCAACATATGACAAATATTTTCTTGTGAGTTTACTTTTCTCTTGCTCTGGAATTCCCAAGTACAGAGGAGGAAACGTCATTTCGGACTTTTCACAAAAGACTGATCTTTTCTATAGACAGGTACACTGAATTCCAAGAGAGACTAAATTTTTTTCATAAATATTGACCTCAAAAAAATTTCAACTAAACTGGTAATTTCCATTAAAATTTATATATAAATAGTTATGTGTGTGTGGCATATGAATATATCCTTAAATAGCATGCGAATAATCTCTGAAAGAGCAATCTTTAATGGTTTTATTGTAATAAGAAGTTTTTTAAGTACATGAAATAGGTGAATAAAAAGCATACATCCCTATTCCTAACAATCCCTTTTAATCAGTAATGATTCATACGCATTTTCTTTCTTTCTCTCTCTCTCTCTTTCAGAAAGGGTCTCACTTTGTTACTCAGGCTAGAGTACAGTGGTGCAATCTTAACTGACTATAACCTTGAACTCCCGGGCTCAAGCAATCCTCCTGCTTCAGTCTCCTGAATATCTGGAACTACAGGTGTACACTACCATGCCTAGTGATTTGTTTTAGTTTTTGTGGAGATGCTGTCTCCCTATGCTGCCCAGGCTGGTTTTGAACTCATGGCTTCAAAAGATTCTCTCGCCTTGGGATTACAGGCATGAGCCACTGTGCCTAGACTCATATGCATTTAAAATCTGGCCTGCACAAGTTGCCAGTGTTCATTCACCTTAATAATTTATTGTTATCAAGAATTTATATGTATTTTTATGTAGAAACTCTACCCAATGTAATAATAATACAAACCTAAGCCTCCTAAATAGCAGTATTATTTATTTTTGATATTTTCATTAGATTCTCCTGAGTACAGTTGGTTCGTTATAACTGTGCTTATGTTGTTAGTAGAATATTAAATTGTTCAAAAGGAATAAAAATATGCAAAGTATTCGATAATAAAAGCTCGAAATGAGGCCACTGCACATAAACACTAAATAGATTCATTTTTTGTAGAAAGACAGCCAAAATCAGAACAAACGAATGAAAACACGGCAAGTATAGGTGTTTGTCTGTAAATATGAAGGCCCAATATTAATTATTCCATCTAGTAATAAATGCAAAACATGAGTGACTATACACCTTGAAAAAAGCATCTCATTGTTTCTTTTACACAATTGAAAGCAAAGTAGAAAGCAGGGTAAAGTAAGCAGGTATGTACTGATATAAGTATATGTGCACAAAAGAGTTAATATAACAGGTCTGAGTAGCTATTGTCAGAAAATCCTGATTGCAAGGTTGGTATTTGGCTAGCATCTAGGAACTTAGATTTTGAGAAGGACCCCATGATTCTCTGTTAAGAGTTGTTCACTGTACCTAAACTGTTTGTGACAAACAATATGGTTTATACTGAACACTTGCTTTTCTACTGGGACTCTAGAATTTCGGTATTTCTTTAGGCATTAACTAACCCCTGATAAAACTCTGGACTCACAAGCTCAAGCTGAGTTTTCCTGGTAGACAGCACTTTTTGCATGATCTCATAACTTGCTGCTGGAAGAATCAAGGGGCTCATGTCTAACTCCAGTGGGAGAGGACTCTTTGGAAGCTTGCATCTGGTCTCCTCTAGACCTTGCCCCATGCATCTTTTTTCCCTTTGCTGATTTTGCTTCACATCCTTTAGCTGCCACAAATCATAGCCATGATGAGTACAACTATATGCTGGCGATGGCAGGGGTGATCTGCCTGGAGCAGCCACTGCCATGAGGCTGGCTGCAGTGGAGAGCCAGCAGGAGCCCCACCCACTTCTGAGTTGGAGGGGTGGGAGCCCTGTCCTCCTGGCTGTAGCTGCAGCCGCCCAGCCACAGCTGTGGACCCAGGCATCCCTGTGTTCTTGGGGACCTGGGAAGCTCCCTGCCTCCACAGGCTTGAAAGTGCCTGCTCCCACTGCCTGGCCTCTCCCTGCTCCCAGCATCTACTTTGATTTCACAGCACAATTGAGGCCAAGCCCAGGTGCAGTCACATCTTACCTGGGTGTGTGCATGCTTGGGGCAGCACGCCAGCCCTCTGCCACCTTGGCCCCCTCCAGACTTTGGACACCAACAAGCATGGCAGGAAGGCAGAGGGAGTGTTAAGGGCAGCTCAGTGAGGGCCTGCAGATGTCCCTTGACATGAACAGCCTGCGTGCTGTGGACAACGGGTTGGTGGTGGCAGGAGGCAGAAAGGCTCCTGGGCAGAAATGGGGGAGTCCATGGTGAGGACCTACATTTAAGCCAGCAACCTGAAGCCCAGGGGCTGGACTGCCAGTTCTGCGGACTGGAGTGAGAACTTATGGTGCTTTTTCCAGGCCTGCCCATGGCCAACCATGGACCAATCAGCACACACTTCCTCCCTTTTGAAGCCCATAAAAACCCCCGACTCAGCCAGACTCGGGCAGATGATAGGACTATCTGCCTGTGGATAGGAGCTACCCACTCTGGGTTTCCTCTCTACTGAGGGCTGCACAAATGATGGGATGACCTGCCGGCAGATACAAGCTAACCACTCTGGGTCTCCTCTCTGCTGAGGGCTATACAGATGTCAGGATGACCAGCTTGCAGATGGGTCCTACCCACTCCAGGTCTCCTCTCCACTGAGGACTGTACATACATCAAGATGACCTGCCTGTGGAAAGGACCTACCCATTCTGGGTCTCCTCTCCACTGAGGGCTGCACAGATGACAAGATGACCTACCAGCAGATACAAGCTAACCACTCTAGGTCTCCTCTGTGCTGAGGGCTGCACAGATGACAGGATGACCTGCCCACAGATATAAACTAACCACTCTGGTTCTCCTCTATGCTGAGGACTGTACGGATGTTGGGATGACCAGTCTGTGGATGGGACCTACCCACTTCAGATCTCTACACTGAGGGCTGCACAGACATCAGGATGGTCTGCATGTGGAAGGGAGCTACACACTGCAGGTCTCCTCTCCACTAAGAGCTGGACACTTGTGGAGATGACCTGCTTGCAGAAAGGAGCTGCCCACTTCGGGTCTCCTGACAACTGTTCTGCTACTCAGTGAAGTTCCTCTCTGCCTTGCTCACCTTCCAGTTGTCCACATACCTCATTCTTCTTGGATGTGGGACAAGAACTCAGGACCTGCCAAATGGCTGGACTAAAAAAGTTGTAACACAAACAGGGCTGAAACACGTCCCCACCACTCACCACGTTCTGGGCAACAGGAAGGAGAGAAGAGCTGTGGCCCTTTGGGGAGCCCACACCTAGGAGCTCTCCGAGCCAGGGTTGTGACACTTTCTTTGGGATTCTGCAGTTCCTGGCATCTCTTGAGCTTCCAGGTGTCACGACATTCCCTTCATCTAGATGCGGGTGCCTGCAGCATAAGCCATGTGCAGTACATCTGATCCAGCTGCAGCCTCACATGGAGCTAGCACCTGTGCTGACACCTGGAGCTGCCTGCCCTGCCACAGCAGCCAGTGTGCCTGGCTGTGCAGTGGCCGGACCCCAAGCTTGTCACTCACATATCACTCGCCGCTCTGTGCCTGGCTCGTGTTTGTCAGTTGTGGGGTCTGGGCCGGTAGTACGAGCCAAGTGCAGTCTGCTAGGCCAAGTGGGCAGAACGAGCCCAGCGGGCAAGAGCAATACTCAGGCAGAAGGCACCACTGGTCACAGGAGTTTCTGGCTGGCAAAGTGATACCCTAAGGATCCTGTGACACTGGGTTCTATCGATCCTCCTAATAAATCATCAAACTTGAAGGATAGTCCTGGAGGGTCTCCACACAGTATACAAAATATTTAATATTGTGGACTTACAAAGGAAATTACCTATACCATAACACTGGAAACTCAGGGAACATTTTTCTTTGGGCTATTGGAGGTTAGGATTTAACGATCGGTAGAATCATTATCCTATTAATCATTATCAAAAAAACATCAATATAATGAATAAAATGTAGAATCAGGCATTCCTATGCATGGAAAGAATTCTTATGGCCCATGAGGCTAGCAGATTGGTGGATGACAGAAAGATCTCAGAATATGGAAAATGAATACAGCAAAGTACTTTATGGGAAAAATCAACAACCTTCAGTAAACACATTATAACGACTTCTATTTAAACGTCTTATTTACCAAAAATTTTCAACTTATTCTCCAGTGGAAATTTTAAAGCACTTACAAGCTGTCATTTATATAACAAAAAATGAGATATTAGTATATATATTACAGAAATTAATCTATAAATAATACTAAAGATAGCAGCTACTCCATAAACAAACACGATTGCATTTATTTTCGTTTATTTATTTATTTTTGAGACGGAGTTTCACTCTGTCACCCAGGCTGGAGTGCAGGGGTGCGATCTCAGCTTACTGCAACCTCTGCCTCCTGGGTTGAAGCAATTCTCCTGCCTCAGCCTCCCGAGTAGCTGGGACTACAGGTGTACGCTACCACGCCCGGCTAATTTTTGTATTTTTATTAGAGACAGAGTTTCACCGTATTGGCCAGGCTGGTCTTGAACTTCTCACCTCGTGTTCCACCCGCCTTGGCCTCCCAAAGTGATGGGATTACAGGTGTGAGCCACCGCGCCCAGCCTCACGATTACATTTATATTGCAAGGAACATTTATAGTTGTCAAGAAATACACTTATCTATTGCCATTTCATATGTAGCCACTCTGTAAGGTAGTAACACAAATGATGCTGACTCATATATTCCTGTTTTGTACAAGAAAGATATAAAAATGTGTTCATTTAAACATACCTTAACTATTTCTTCAATGAAACAAATATGAGAAACAGGATCTCTCTTCTTGGCCAATACTTTTTGTAGATGTTGTACCTTAAATGAAACAAATGTAAAGCTTAGGCAATAGAAAAAGCAAGAAAAGGGAAATGGTGACCTTTAGGTACATTATAATCAGCTAGTGGAGGTATTTTGAATGCTCATCAATTTAAAAAACCTGCCCAAGGTCACAGAACTTGGAATAACCAGGAGTTAATCCATATTAATGTTCTTTCCACTCCTTCAAATATTTACCTGTCCACAAACAGCATAAATATGATCCATAAGTTTCTCCATATTCGTCCAGAGTGAAGCACGCAAAGCTGCAGTATTTCCTGGGGTTGGCATGGTAGATCGTCCAGGTCCCCCTGGTTACAAGTGAGAAAGTACTATGAAAAATAAAGTTTTCCAAAGGCAAATATATATATACACACACACATATATATATATATGTTATTATGAAAACCATACATAAGCTAAAAAATGAGAAGTTCCTTCTTTAGAAGGAACTAAAATTATTTCCTGTCTCATAGGAAATAATTTCTTATGAGTAAGAATCTTAACCTTTTATGCTTAAGAAAGGGAAGCGACACATATCCAGAAAGGATAAAATGGAAATTGATGAAAATGGTTTCCTACAAGAGGTGTGAGAATGGTGGGAAATGAAATAGGTGAAAGGTACAAGGATGGAGGTGAGTCTTCCTCTGTTTCCTACCGCTCTCATGCCCCTTGCAGAAAACCATCTTCACTAATTTCCCATTTATCCTGTGTATGTACATGTGTGTGTATGTGTGTGTTGTGTCCCCTTTCTTAAAAATAAAAAACTCTAAAACAATAAAAACAAATACAGGAACAAATAAAGTATGTGTGTGTTGTGCCCCCTCTTTCATAAAAAAACAAAAAAACAAAAACTGAATATAAACAAATACCGAAACAAATACAACTAACTATATATCAAATTGAAAACATAACCACGCAGGAGGAAAACAATTTTAATTCATGGAATTTTTACTTATAGAACACTGACTTCAGTAAGATACATTTACGCACAAAAAATTACAACGAAATATTGAACTTTATTAAATAGATTTTTGCTGGATGTGGTATTGAAGTAGTAATCCTGAAACTAGTTTAGGAATATTTTGGAACAGAGCAAAATAAGGTTCTCAGTGTAAACAGAATAAAGACACAAATATGTAATGGGGATTAGACATATTTCCCAACTCTATCCACTGGAAAGTCAGAGAGACGATGGTTCCTCAAGAGTAGTAAGTATACCTAGTATCCAAATTTTGATTTCTAAGACCATTCTCCAATAAAAACAAAGCAGGATTCAGTGGAAAAAAGAGTGATTTCATATTTGGAGCAGTGAAAATACAAGGTGAATGTGACAGATATTGTGCCAGTGAGCAATAAAGTGTTTGAAGACAAATGAAAATTTTCAAAAGGATACATCAAGTTGACTGGAAGGGGCTTCCACAACACAAATTTCAGATAATTTGGCCATCCAAAATAATACTGATGGTAATAAATTATAAAACAATGATTAAAAAATAATTCATGAGTATATAGTGAAACTCAAATGTTTATAAAGGATGGAAATGCTATTTATAAAAGAATATCAGCTAATAAACACAGAAAGAATGACAGAATTAGAAAAAAAATCACCATTTTGCAACTACTAGTTGCAAAATTAATTAAGAGAAAGAGTATCAGTGGATACCAAAACACTAAGTGAAATGTTATTGGCCGGGCATGGTGACTCATGCCTGTAATCCCAGCACTTTGGGAGGCTGAGGTGGGCAGATCACTTGAAGTCAGGATTCGAAACCAGCCTGACCAACATGGAGAAACCCATCTCTACTAAAAATACAGAATTAGCCAGGCATGGTATCACATGCCTGTAATTCTAGCTACTCGGGAGGCTGAGGCAGGGAACTGCTTGAACCCAGGAGGCGGAGGTTGCAGTGAGCCGAGATCATATAATTGCACTCCAGCCTGGGCAACAAGAGCAAAACCCCATCTCAAAAAAAAAATGTTATCGAGAACAAGATATTCATCACATAGTCTCAAAGTATGCACCTATAAATTACTAATTACAAAGAAAAGAGCATATCATTACAAAGACCAATCTGGCATATGCCAATTTAATGGAGTGATCTAATTCAGCATCAGCAGCAATGAAACAAACTGAAATAATTGTGTTGTTTCCTGATATGATATAATAGGAAGTACACAACATCATCTTACCAATGGTATGTTTACCCTGAAGCTAATCATGAAGAAAATACCACATGAATCCAGACAAATTCAGATTATGAGGCTCTCCAAAAAATGTTAATACCATTAAAAAAAAAAAAAAAAGAAAAAGGCAGTGGTGCTGCTTTTTATTAAAGAGACAAGACAGCCAACAGAAAAGCATGATCCCTGATTGGTTTCACTGGTTTCAGTCAGGTGAAACCAACTTACACAAACAACATTTTGGGGAACAATACAATTTTGAGTATGAACTGCACCTTAAATAATATTAATGTATTAATACTAACTTTTTAGAGAGTGAGACTGTCTAAGAATGTTCTTGTATATAACACATACAGGAATCTATATGTAAAGGTTTGAAATGTTTCAACAAAAAAATAGAAATTTTAATCCCAAATTGAAAGGCATACATTTCACTCCAAACTAACGTTAAATATCAGGCAGTAGAAGAGCTCATCATTGGTTAGTCAGTCTATATCTCTGCTTTTATGGAGGACAAGATCAAGAAAACCAGAGGCACTGTGTGTGTAAACTACCCAACTCTAGTTTTTCAACAATTCAGAAAAGAATTGCACGTACCTTTAGCAAACAAACGCAGTTATTTCTTTAGTCTGATAATAGTAGCAAGCAATAAAATAATCTATGAGAAAGATGTTGGCTTAAAAATATAGATAATACCTGTTTGAAATCTGCATCTAATGAAGCTTTAGAATATTTGCAGTGCTATGCAAAGACTATTAAGGGAAGGTATACAGGAAATAGATAATACTATAACAATCTGCAGCTGTTCTCACATGTTATATAAAGAATGAACTCATAACAGTCAGAAAAGGGTATGTAGTGTCTTTATGAATACTAAAAAATACAGGTCAAATTCCTGGAATATGTATGACTTGGTTTTATGAAACCCTTCAACCTATTATTCTTTTAAATACAAGCAGAAATACAAGATATTGCCATTACCAGTTAGCTTTAATAGACTCAAGAAACAAAATAGTCCCTTAAGTTTTATTTAACTGATAAAAGAAACTAAGAGATCCTCATAGATACAATACTTGAAAAATGATTTCTAGTTAGTGATGATGGAATAAAATCATTTTCTTATTCTCTTCCCTTGAATGCCAATGAAAAGAAAATCAAACAAAAGATTGAAAATGTCAACCTCAAAGAAACAAAACTTCAAACCGGAGATTATGAAGCATGCATGCCAGTTGCTGTAGATAAGTCAAAATGAAGAAGGAACCAGAAAGATGACACCATAGATCATTAGGAAGAGTAAATTGCTCTTAAAATCAATTGTAAGAATTTGCACAAGCTATCTAAGGATTCTTTTGATTACAGCTGAGATCTACAGATATGGACAGGCCAGGGAATGTTCAACATTGCAAAATTAAAAAAAAAAAAAAAAAGCTGAAGGAAAATCACAAGGAATTGATATTTATGTTGTTTAAGAATTAGCCCCTGAGTGTGGGGAGACTACTGGAGGTAAAGTGAGATGAAGAAAAAAAATACTGCAAATGCTAGGATTCAACACAGAAATGGCTTAAACAGCTTTACTGGAAGCCATACTAAGCTTCTTCTGAATGATACAAATTTTGAGAACAGATGTGCTCCCAAGGTAAAAAGAAGTAACAAACTGGTCAATGGGTATTGTAGACAACAAACCTAAATTAAATTGCAGAGTGCTTCAGGTATCTCTCTTCAGCCATGCCTATACCATTCTTCAATGAATAGCTAGCAGTTTTCAATGATGAATAATCATCAGAAACAAAGCAAGAATGGACTTAACATAGACACTGGGGAGGGTGGCAGGAAGGAGGAAGAAAGGAATATAAGCTAAAAGCAATGATAAACATAGATCACCAAAGAAACAACGGAAAGGGGTACTCAGTTTTCCACTGCCTCAAAGTAATTACTGGAATACTCACTGGAAAAATATTATAGAAATTAGGACCATATTAGAAAAAACAAAAAGTTATAATAAATGAGAGTGAAAACACAGTAACACATGTAAAATAGGCAAGAGGAAATAATACAAAATGAAGTAAAATGCAAAGATACTGGAAGCAAAGTGAAAAAACTCCAAGCAAATATTAAGAGAATCAGACTTCCACATCCATGACACTCTCTCTCCCACATTATGCCCAGCACCAAGTGCAAGAAGATACTAGACATGGAAAACAAAGAATATCTGATATATGCATAAAGTTCCTGAAAAGAACAAATGGAACAGAAAAATATTCAATATACAGTGGAAGAAAACTTTTCTATAAAAGGGAACATACTTTAACTTCACACACACACACACACACACACACACACACACACACACAGAAAACATGACACAGAGCATTCAACTCTGAGACACACGCTAAAGAAGTCACTCAACTTCAAAGATAAAGGAAAATCCATTTGGACAGTCAAGAAAAAGCAAGTCAACTAGTGGGCGATAAAAATCTGATTAGTCTCATAATTCTCTAATACAACACTAAAACCCAGCAGTTGGTAAAGCAATGTCTGATGGTAGATGGGACCCTTCATTTTCCTTTCATATGAAGGGACTTCAGCTAAAGCAACTTTCTTACCTTCCTTCCCTACCTCTTATCCAACTCTCTCCATGTGAAGAGGAGTGAGTGAAGAGTGAATCTGAATAAGAAACTGAGCATCATTGGCTCAGTCCCTTCCTTCCTCTGTTGTGGAAGCTTTGTATATATAAAAGGTGCATTCTGACCAACATTCTACCAGTGGTAAGTATAGTGGGAAAGGCTAAATTGGGAAATAAGTTTAATTTTGAGGTGATATATTAAAAAATCCATTTGGTTATAAATCAAAGCCATGCTTTTCGGTGCATTTTTTTCAACAGTAATAAAACTAGCATTACAATTGTCATGTTTTTGTCTCCTACATTTGTGTCTCATTTTCCAGTTCAGTGGGGGAAGAAAAACATTATTTATTGGGACACAAACAGCTACAAAATTCCAAGGGAAAGTGTAAATAAAAATTTATACCTGGCCAAATCATTTAAGCATAAAAGCAAAACACACCACCAACTATGTAAGGACTCAAGAGAGCACAGTACCTGTGAAACATTTTTGAAAAATCAACTAGA